TCTGCTTCCCAAGTAGCTGGGAATACAGGCGCCTGTCACAACGACCAGCTATTTTTTGGTTGCAGCTGTCATTGTTGTTTGGTGGGCCCGGGCTGGATTCGAACCCGCCAGCTCACGTGTATGTGGCTGGCGCCTTAGCCCATTGAGCCACAGGCGCCAGTGGCTAAGACAGAAACTATTTTCTTTTTTTTTTTTTTTTTTGAGACAGAGCCTGAAGCTGTCCCCCTGGGTAGAGTGCCGTGGCATTACAGCTCACAGCAACCTCCAACTCCTGGGCTCAAGCGAGTCTCCTGCCTCTGCTTCCCAAGTAGCTGGGACCACAGGCGCCCGCCACAACGCCCGGCTATTTTTTGGTTGCAGCCGTCATTGTTGTTTTGGCGGGTCCGGGCTGGGGATTCGAACCCGCCACCTTAGGTGTACGTGGCTGGCGCCTTAGCCGGTTGAGCTATAGGCGCCGAGCCAAGACAGAAACTATTTTCAAACATGGCTTTTACATTCTCTAGGCCTCACAACTCATTAACCAAAATATTACCATGTGAGATAAATGTCTATTATTTCAAGGTATATTTCCATTGGAACTTTTCCCCCCTAATTTCTCCATCTTGCTTCCCTTAAACCTGATCTCCTTGAAGATCTCAGCTGATGACAACTCCATTCTTCCAGTCACCGAGGACAAGTCCCTCAAATCATCCTTCATTCCTTTCTTTTTTTCTCCTACATCTCATTAGGACGTTCTGTTAGTTCCAACTTCAAAATACATCCAGAATCCAACCAGTTTTCTTTTGGAAAGTATTAACTAATTGTTCGTATTACACAGACGATAGAAGGAAGAGTGAGGCTGGGTATGGTGGCTCATGCCTAGAATCCTAGCACTCTGGGAGGCTGAGCCGTGGGAGGATTGCTTGAGCTCAAGACCAGCCTGAGCAAGAGTTGAGACCCCATCTCTACCAAAAGTAGAAAAAAATTACCTGGGTGTGGTGGTGGTGGGCACCTGTAGTCCCAACTACTTGAGAGGCTGAGGCAGGAGGATCAGCCTAGGAATTTGAGGTTACACTGAGCTAGGCTGACACCACAGCATTTTAGCCTGAGCAACAGAGTGAGACTATCTCAAAAAAAAAAAAAAAAGTGAGGAACACAAAAGAATGTTCTCAATAAAGTATAGTGCAAAAGTCTTGAGGAAGACATGTGTCTATCATGTTGCTGGAGTACAGAGAGAAGCCAGAATGACTGAACAGAGTAACTGAGGGCTGAGGAGAAGCAGATAGGCAGTGATGTAAGGGGAAGTCACTGCATGGTTTTGAGCAGAGAAGTGACATGATCTGACCGACTGAATGACTAATTTACTGAGACAGAGTCTTGCTCTGTTGCCCTGGCTGCAGTGCAATGGTATAATCATAGCTCACTGCAGCCTTGAACCCTTGGGCTCAAGCGATACTTCTGCCTCAGCCTCCTCACTCAGTAGCTCCAGGCACGTGCTACCACGTCTGGCTAATTTCTCTTGTCATCTGTAGAGACAGGAACTCTCTATGTCACTTAGGCTGGTTTTGAACTCCTGGCCTCAAGTAATGCTTCCACCTTGGCCTCTCAAAGTACTGGGATTACCGGTGTGAGCTACCATGCCCGGCCGTGACTTATATTTTTAAAGGATCTTTGGCTATTGAAGATAAGAATATAATAAAGGGCACAAGCAAGGAGGCCAGAGAGGTGGCTACTGCAATAATCAAGGTGAGAGCTAATGCTGATTTGGACAAGGTGCAGGGTGCTGAGAAGTCATCAAATTCTGGATATACAGCAGAACCTCTGTTAGGTGACCACCCAAGGGACTGTAATAAACTGGCCAATGTATAGAGGTGGTCAACATAAGGGACTAGGCCTACTGTACAGGTACGTATATGTGGTGCACGTCTGGTCTACGAAAATTACACTTTGTTCTATCCAAGCACATTTTCCAGTACATCTGCCTTGTTATGACTTCCCCCGGGGTACAATTTATGTTAATTATACATTTGGGTTTACTGGAGTATTTGAGGAGGGTGAAGGGTAGTGTGTACCTCCTTTATGGCCCTGTTCAATTAAGCTCTCTTTTTCTTTTCTATTTTTTTTTCTTTTTTTGAGACAGAGTCATCCTGGATAGAATGTAGTGGCAACCTCAGATTCCTGGGTTCAAGTGATAGTCCAGACTCAGCCTCCTGAGTACTATAGGCACACACCACAACTCTCAGCTAATTTTTCCATTTCTTTAGTAGAGACAGGGTCTCACTCTTGCTCAGGTTAATCTCAAACTCCTGAACTCAAACAATCCTCTCACCTCAGCCTCCTAGAGTGTTAGGATTATAAACATGACCCACTTTGGCCTAAGATTTGTAGTTTTGTTTTGAGACAGAGTATCACTTCGTCACCCTCGGTAGAGTATGCTCGGTGTGTGTGCTGCAGCGCCACAGCCCATAGCAACCTCAAACTCCTGGGCTCAAGCGATTCCCTGCCTCTGCCTCCCAAGTAGCTGGGATTACAGGCACCCGCCACGGTGCCCAGCTATAAGCTTTGTATTCTTAATTTACTGTAAAAATCTTCCTTTGACCTTTAGTTTCATAAGGTAGGATATTCTTTAAGTAGAAAATGTAGCCCATTTCTTCCCATTGCATAAGCTACACTTCGACCTAATAGTTTTATGAAAATATTTGTGCTTACTTTAAGAAACTTATAGTTTGCTAAAGATGGTGAGGTTTATCTGACTAGTGCCCCTAGAGGAATCAGAAGTTAGGAGGAAAGGGAAGGCATAAAGAGAAAGACGACTGTTTTACAGGTATTAAACTCGGGGTAGACAACAGGAAGGCCAAGAAGAAAGGTCCAGCAGCAGGTAGAAATAGACTAGAACCAGGAAATACAAATGTCAAACACTACCTTCAGTGGGATATAATGGTTAAGAGGAGGTTGTTTATTTGGTTTGATTCTTCATTCTGAATAGAGGAGGATTAGAATATCAGGAAGTTGCAAGGAAAGCACCATTGGGAAGCCACAGAAGCTGCTAAAGTGTAACTGTTGGAGGAAGATTTGCAAGGAGGCCATAGAAAAAGAATTTTAGGTATCAATTAAAACAATAGCTTAAAAATAATGAGAAATGAATACCTATGTCCACGCAAAGAATTATATAGTTTGGCTTTATATATAACGATCAAAAACTGGAAATAACTCAAATGTTAATCCAGAGGTGAATGAATGAATGAATGAACAAGAAAATTAGATTTGTCAGTATAACGGAATACTACTGAGCAATAAAAAGGAATCAACTACTGATACAAATAACATGGATGATTCTCACAGATATTTTGAGTTAATCAGCCAGATTAAAAAAAATAAAAGCACATACAGTATGATTCCAGTTACGTGGAATCCTGACAGGTAATTTAATCTAAAATGGCAGAGGGCAGGCTGGTGGATGCCTGAGGATGTGTTGGAGGTGGCAAATTGACAGAAGAGGAGCAGAAAGCTTCAGGGTTCTTGTTCATTGAATTTTTCATTTTATTGCCTGTGACTTCATTGAATGGAAATACATCTACTCATTCTCTTCGGATGGGCATATTCCTTATTAGCACATATTTAATTATGCCTATTTTACTATAACAATGATAATAATAATAACAACATTCACTGAGTTCTTCCTATGTGCTGAGCAAAAGGCTAAGCACTCATGTGATCCTTACAGTATTACAACAAACCCAGTGGGGTAGGTGCCATTATTGTCCCTCTCAATCTATTTTTTTTTCTTTTCTTTTTTACAATACAGATACAGATGAAGAAACTAAAGTTTAGAAAGGTTGATTAATTTGCTCAGGATCTCATGGCTGGACTAACATCCTTGATTCTAAAAGTTCATTTTTTTACCCATTATATAAGACATTATGGTATAAGCTATCTGTTGGCAGACATTTAAAAAAGACCCAAGTGTTCAGTGAGCCTCTGGCACACAAAACTTCTTGTTTGTTAGCCACTCAAGTTTCATCTGCCCAAGCATGTTTCCTAGCTAGTAGGAGCAATTTTCATTCTCTGGGCTCTCATCCCAAGTCCAAGCTGAAGTGTCCTATGATCCTCTAGGAGCCAAACAGCATTTATCTGGTTTCCCAGGTCTGCTTCCCAGTTCTGGGGTTATTTTCTCTAGGGCTGTCTCCCCCTCCCCCTTTTTTGGAGACAGAGTCTCACTCAGTCACTCTGGGGGTTAGTGCCATGGTGTGATAGCTCACAGCAACCTCAAACTCTTGGGCTAAAGTGATTCTCTTGCCTCAGCCTCCTAAGTAGCTGGAACTACAGGTGTCTGCCACAATGCCTGGCTATTTTTTAGAGAGGGGGTCTCACTCCTGCTCAGGCTGGTCTTGAACTCCTGAGTTCAGGCAATCCACCCACTTTGACCTCCCAGAGTGGTAGGATTACAGGCATAAGCCACCTAGACTCACCAGTGCTGTCTCGACTCCCTCTTTAACACATCATTTCTCTTTCTCCAATTTCTTCTCTGCCTCCTGTCTGAATGCTTGGATTCTATTTTTGTTTCAGAACTGGATCCCAAACAATTTCTCTTACTTATGCACCAGAAATAGGTTTTCATTATCCACTAACTCTAAATAAGAATTTAAAGGTATATAATACTTGTACCCTAAGCATAGAACTGAACCAGATTAAGTTACCGAGAAAGATGAATGGGCAAATACAATGTAGGTAAGGTAAGGCCTTTCCTCTACAGCCTCTAGGATTGCACATAATAAAACCAGCCCACAAATTCCTGAGAAGAATGTTATATTATCATCAGCAAAATCAGGGGACATATACTGTGAATAAGTGTTTATTCAGAAAAGTCTTCAAATGGTGAAAAAAAGATGTATTTCCCAGTTTTGTTTAGCATTGACTCTATTTGTCACTGTGAGTTACATTTTACCCAAAATGTTGACATTTACACACATATTCACCAATCAAAAATTAAAGATAATTGTGTCACTGTAACAATCACTTACTTTTACAAAGGAAATTCTCTGAATCTGAAAGATTTTTGCAAGGTCAGCTATTGGAGCCATTGCGACTAGCATGTCAACAGTCTTCTACATGGCCTAAACAAGCGGTTTCTTATCCAAATTGAAACTCTGAAAAACAATGAATGGTAATAAGGAATTCACAATCAGAACTGACAGAAACAACTCAGTCTGGTAGAGTTCAAGAGTAACCTAAGTTGGAAGTTTAGTCTTGGGCTGACGGAATATAACGAACTTCAAAGACTACAACTCTAAAACAATTTTGTCATAAACCCTGATGTCCTGTGGACTAACGACTTTTCAGACAGATGGGCTAAGAACAACAGAAAATGATTTCCATCCAATTTCTGGGTAGCTTCTTAAGTGCTGCCGGAAAGCTCACTTCCTCTTTCTCAAGGGGCAGCAGAGTCAAACCGTTTCCAGGAAGGTGGATCTAATCTACAGATTTGGAAGGAAGGATTTAGGAGAAAAGGATAGTCATACAGAATGAAGGTCTTCCTCCTCTGCCCCCTACCTAACCCCAGCCAAACCCAAGGATGTCAGCCCTTAAGACCCCTCTAGAAAGGGACACCACCGCAGGCCCTAGCCGCCGGGTGAATTCATGTCTCCAAAATCAGAAGCAAATTTACTGAGCTTTTCAATTCCACTGAAAGAATTAAGGGGTCAATACACCTTGCCAAAAACTTGTATATGACCTTGCCTGGGAGACCGCTGTATTCGACCCTAAAGACCTCAGCACCTTGTACTCCGCGATGGAACAAAAAGTGTCCTGGGCTGACTTTACTAGGGACTGGTTTCTTAGGGGCTCCGGGGTCGGGGATAGGGAGGGTCGAGGGGAGGCTTACCACGCCCTCAGGCCGACCCGTCCAGTCCTCCCGGAGAAAACCAGCGACCCGGACCCCAGCGAGAAGAACACCGCGGCTGCCCTCTGATTGGTTCCGGGAGGCCGGAAGTGCGTGCGTCTGGGGGAAGTGGTCCTCCTGCGCAGTCCGCCGGGCCGGGGCCCTCAGGTAGGCGGGGCCCCTGGCTCCAAACTCTGGGACTGATTGCTGGGCGGGAGACAGAAAGGGGACTCCAGTGGCCTCAGAAGGGTGTACGGTTCTGGTCAGGGAGGGCTGGAAGGAGTTTCGGGGGCGAGGAGTTCACAGCTACCCCGGGTTGCAACTGGGGCCTGGCCGAGCCCGGCCGCCGCGGGACTTAAGTGCGGGAGTTTCTAGTACCCGCGTGGAGATGGGATTTGCGCCCGTGGCCAGAGCGACTTCTTAATCCGTATGGTAGTGGTCCGAACGCTGCTCGCTTTTGGTCAGGAAAAGGTGTGCTCTCGGTCCTTCCCTCTTCCGTGCTTCTGGGTTTGACAGCTCCCCTCAAGGAGCGTCCGGATGCCGGGTTTTCCGCCGTGACCCCCTCGGGCCTCGTGGGAAAAGCTGCAGAAAGGCTGCCCTAGGCAAAATTGGGGGAGAAAGCGCCACAGCCCTTGACATCTTCCTAGGAAGACAGGGGTGTCTTTTCAATTGCTGGTTACTCAAGTTAAGCTGGAAGTTATCTGAACTGCGTTAGGCTAAGTTCATATTACAAATACAACTCCTTGTTAATGGTTTTCTTTTATTAGCCAACTCCACCCCGACGTGGTTTGGACTTTGAGCCTCTTGTAGACCTGATGAACAGTTTCATTTTCTTCTGACACTCGGCACTTAAAGAATTGAGGTCTATGCAACTGACACGGGTCAGCATTGTTCAGAGTTCAGAATACTAAGACAGGTGAGCATGAATAAAGACCTTCCACTCCAAATAACAGTTATTTGAGAGCCCTGTCGCTTGTTTCCATAAAAGTGCACCACCTTTATTGAATACTAGGTGGTGCCAGTGAGTTAGTCTCTCTGGACCGAATCTCGTAAGGCCAGGTTAAGGCTTTTATTAGTTGTCGCCCAAGGCTGGATGGAGTACAGTGGTGTTAGCATAGCTCATTGCAGCTTTTACAGTAGTGTTAGCATAGCTCATTGCAGCTTTGAACTCCTGGACCCTGGAGCTAGGAACGTGCCAGCAGGCCTGGCTATTTTTTTTTTTTTTTAAATCTGGGGCTCGGCACCTGTAGCTTAAGCGGTTAAGGGGCCAGCCACATACACCTGAGCTGGCGAGTTTGAATCCAGCCCGGGCCTGCCAAACAACAATGACAGTTGCAACCAAAAAAAAAAAAAAAAATAGCTGGGTGTTGTGGTGGGTACCTGTAGGCCCAGCTGAGGCAGGAGGCTGAGGCAGGAGAATTGCTTGAGCCCAGGAGTTGGAAATTGCTGTGAGCTGTGATGCAACAGCACTTTACCCAGGGTGACAGCTTGAGGCTCTGTCTCAAAAAAAATTTTTTGGGGGGGTAGAGATTGGGGTCTCACCATGTTGCCCCCCGGCTGGTCTGGAACTTCTGGACACAGTTGATCCTCCCACCTCAGCCTCCCAAAGTGTTGTGATTACAGGCATGAGCCACTGAGCCCAACTAAGATAATTTTAAAAGGTAGTAATACCAGATATTTGCTGATTATATTTTATTTTGACTATATTGTAAGAATCCTTTGCATTGAAGTTCACATGTCAAATCATCTGGGAATGATTTCTTTTTCTTTCTTTCTTTCTTTTTTTTGAGACAGAGCCTCAAGCTGTTGCCCTGGGTAGAATGCTGTGGCGTCGCAGCTCATAGCAACCTCCAACTCCTGGGCTTAAGCGATTCTCTTGCCTGAGCCTCCCAAGTAGCTGGGACTACAGGTGCCTGCCACAACGCCAGGCTGTTTTTTGGTTGTAGTTGTCATTGTTGTTTAGCAGGCCCAGGCTGTGGTGTATCTGGCTGGCGCCTTAGCTGCTTGAACTACAGGCACTGAGCCAATGATTTCTTTATGTGTAGGAAAATAAAACATGCTTTAATAAGTTACCCTAGGATTTAAGTTCTGGTGAGTAGTTATGCCTAATATTAAACAAAAGGTATTTCCTAAAAGGAATGTAAACCCAATTTTTGTAAATGGAAAATTTAAATGCTTTAAATGTTAAAGTAAATAAATATTATATCAACACAGAAATATCAGTTGCTTTTCTCTATATCAGTGACAATCAGATATTGTAATAGCAAAAACCCTTTTCCCAATAAATAAGAGAAAATCTAAGAACAGCCAGTGTTCAAAGCCTATGTGAATATAATAGTACTTTTCTTTTTAAACTAAAAATCAAGGCCAGCTGTGGCTCTGGGAGGCCAAGGTGGGTGGATTGCCTGAGCTCATGAGTTTGAGACTAGCCTGACCAGAGCGAGACCTCATCTCTAAAACTACAGCTAGGCATTGTGGCAGGCGCCTATAGTCCCAGCTACTTGGGCGACTGAGGCAAGAGAATCGCTAAGCCTAAGAGTTGGATAGTGCTATGAGCTGTGATGGCGTGGCAATCTACCGAGGGTGATAAAGTGAGACTGTCTCAAAAAAATATAAATAAATAAAGATCATACAAGAAAACCTATGTAAATGGAGTAATATATTCCTTGATAGGAATATTCAGATTTCAAGGATACAGATTTTCTTGATATTAGTCTATAATTTTAATGTAATCGCTGTCAAAATTTCAATAGAATTTTTTTTGAGACAGAGTCTCAAGCTGTCGCCCCAGGTAGAGTGCTGTGGCATCACAGCTCACAACAACCTCAAAGTCTTGAGCTTAAGCGATTCTCCTGCCTCAGCCTCCCAAGTAACTGGGACTACAGGCGCCCGTCACAACACTTGGCTATTTTTGTTGTTGTTGTTGCAGTTGTCATTGCTGTTTAGCTGGCCAGGGCTGGGTTTGAACCTGCCAGCCTTCCAATAGAATTTTTTCTTTTTTTTGAGATAAGGGTCTCACTATGTCTCCCTCAGTAGAGTGCCTGTGTTGTCATAGCTCACAGCAACCTCAAACTCTTGGGCTTAAGCAGTTCTCTCACCTCAACCTCCCAAGTAGCTGGGACTATAGGTGCCTGCCACAACGCCCAGCTATTTTTGGTTGCAGTTTTGTTGTTTAGCAGGCCTGGGCCAGGTTCAAATCTGCCAGCTTTGGTGTATGTGGCCAACGCTGTAACCACTGTGCTATGGGTGCCTCCAATAGAATTTTTTTGACAAACTGATTGTCAAATTCATCCAGAAGAGAAAGTGCACAAGAATAGCCAAGAGTGTAGAGGGGAAAAAAGGATAAAGGCAAATCCTTATCAGTTATCAAAATATACCAGTGATAAAGCTATAATAATTTAAATATCAAGGTGATACCATAGGAGTAAAAAATAAGCAATGAAAATGAGTCTAAGGACATGGCGCTTGTAGCTCAGCAGCTAGGGTGCCAGCCACATACACCAAAGCTAGTGGGTTTGAACCCAGCCCAGGCCTACCAAACAACAATGATAACTACAACCAAAAAATAGCCAGGCATTGTGGTGGGCACCTGTAGTTCCAGCTACTTGGGAGGCTGAGGCAAGAGAATCTCTTTTTTTTTTTTTGAGACAGAGCCTCAAGCTGTCTCCCTGGGTAGAGTGCCATGGCTTCACTGCTCACAGCAACCTCCAACTCCTGGGCTCAAGC